TTTTCTTGATAGAAAGATTATATGAAATTTGGATGACCTAAAACAAATGCAACATATCATTAAGAAAACAGTAGACAATTTCTTTTCCTCGGGAAAGGGATTCTCCTTACCGTTTTACCATAAGGCATCCTCAAGCGATCTGAATTTCCAAAGATGCAAGAGATAACAGCAATGTGGCATCTGCTGATGTAATTTGTGTCATCTTCTGCCAAGTCAAACCCAGTGCTTGGGGATTCTTTAGGACCCTTAACAAAGCCACACTTTATTTTTTGATCATTTGCCAAAAAGGAATTTTCCCGTTCTTGTAGAGTCTGATGCCCTGCAAATCTAGGTTCCCAATGCTCTTCTCCTTCAGGCTTGTCCTCTGCTTGAGTATACTGCATGCTGAACCTTGCAAACTTTCGACTTTCTAAAGGCTCTATAAGCTGTGCAGTAGAGTTTAAAAACTTCATCTCACAAGAGGAACCTGAAGAATATCAATATGACATGTCAAGAATACAACAACAACAATAAGGAGCAAACCCTAGTAAAGCACCTAGATTGAAGGACAACTACTGTCATGACGTTGCATTCAACTATATGCATAGATCAATACTTCAGAAACTGAGCCAGAAACAAGAAATCTAAAAACAACTAAAGTGGCTCTTCTAAACCACCATGGCCTTACTCACAGCATTTACTCTTAACGACAATTCCAAGATACATACAAATATCAATACAGAGCAGTACGGATTCGTTAATCAAAAGCACAGTAGGCTTCTTTTCAAGTAAATGAAGTTTAAGTTTTTCAGTACTACGCTCATGATTTTTTTGGAATACCTACATCTTTTTTCATTTTAGTCTTTCTAACTAACGGAAATAAAACTAAGGAAATAAATATGGGCTGCAGATAAATAGCCACTTTCTAAATAGTACCAATATACTGAAATGTATGCAGTTACCTAGTTGCAACAAGAATGAACTGTTTTGTCTGTACTAAGTCGACTTATATGATTTGCAATAAGAACTAACTCTTTTCTTTTGTCTGTACTGAGTAGCACTTCTATGATTTGCATAAAGATTCTAATTTATAATCAATGACATGCAGAAAGCAAGAGACCAAATGTCAAAATGAATGTCTAACCTAGAAGCAGAAGCCAAGTGTAATTCACTTATGCAAGCTGAATCAAATATCAATAATTGAGAAGATAAATATTAACTAGACGTGGTTCCTTCCACACACACACACACACACAAATATGCAACAAGAAACAGATATGTTACCAGAATATTTCCGGCGCTTAGGTTTCCTTTTTGAAGTTGATCGTGACTTTTTTGAAGATTGACCAGAATGTATACTGATATGCCTGGGCTTTGTGTTAACTTCATCAAGATTTCGAGAGTGCTGAACAGGATCATCTTCAAATGAATTGGTGGAGACTTTCTCAACCTTGTTGGCAACATTTTGATCATTAGTTCCGACATCAGGAAGATCAATGGACTCTCCACTATCTTCATCATGTGATTTTTCTTCATCAAAATGGTCATTCTGATGTCCCATATCTTCATATTCATCCATGTGAGTTTCATGAAAATCAATCCCATCATCATACTCGTCATCAACATCAATTACCTCCTTTTGCTTATCCAAATCTTCATCCTTAGATTCTCGACTATTCTTTAGAGAGGCCTCATACTCAGCTTCATAAATTTTCAACTCATTGCGCCCAGCTTCATTGTACAATCCACCTTTCCTACTGGAACTTTTAGGAAAGTCATCATTCAAGGACTTCTTGTCACTGTTTTTAACTCTCACATGAACATCACCCTTATCAGTGGCTTCATCACTAACACCTGCACTACTATCCTCATTATAATCTCCATCCCTTCTCCTATCATCTTTATCCCAATACCTAGAATCTCGACCATGAACTACCGAACCCTTCCCAAACCTAAGGACTTTAGAAGTCTCCGTGCGTGTCACATTTGTGAGAAAGTCAGGATCATTCTTTATGTCATCTTCCTCAGCATGATAAGTATTTAGTTCTGCACCAACACAAGTAAGCAATCACTTGATGCTAAGCTAGGATTCATATAATTCCAGTACCAGATGCTGCTGCATTAAGTATACCACTTTTTCTTTATAACAAAAAAATAAAAATAAAAATAAAAAAAAGTTCCAACAACCATGGAAAAGAGAATCAAACAATTAAAATGTATCTGAATGTTAATGGGATTGATCCTTTTCCTTTATCTTCTCAACAATCAAGCAAAGTCATTAAATAATCAAAATGCAAGTGAAACATAACAAGATCAAACACAGATCTTTTAACCTAGATAGGAAATAGGAAATCAACTAAAAAGCAAACTACAGTGTGATCCTTTTTCCTCTATTGTCTCACCAGCCATATAAAGTCCGCCATTGACAAGTAACTAACTACTTTCTTTTCATTTCCTACATTTTCCCGGGAACCAAACAAACCAATATTAAACACACACAAAAATTAAACTTGAAAAAGGAAAATACCTCTGCTGTTTCGGGAGAGGTAATAGAAGGCCAGAAGAGTAAAAACGAAGACTAGCGCGAGAACGAGGACGACGGTGCCAATAGAGATTCTAAATGGGCCCTTGTCGGATCGACCCGATCGTCGGGCCCGACCCGGTTTGTGCGGGGCGGTGCGGATCCCGACAGCGACGTGATCTGGTCCTCCTCCTCCTACTCCGCCGTTTGAATGGTGGACATCGTGCCCACGTAACCCCAACCTCTCCATCCCTGGCTGCCTGTGCTGAGCCATTCTTGCATTGTAATCTTTAATTTAACTCCTCTCTCTCTCTCTCTCTCTCTCACTCTAGTCTCTAGAGTCCAGACCAGAGAGTCCTAGGATTTTTTATTTTTCTGAGTTTTTCTTTCCTTTTCTTCTCTTTTTTATTATTTGTTTTTGTGGTTTTCTGTGAATATTTAAAAGAATAAAAAATAAAAAAAATAAAAAAAATAAAAAAACCAAAATAATTGGAGTTGTGTTTTGGGAGCGAGTGGGAAGGGAGGAGGGACGATGATGACTCAAATTAAGATCTTGTTAATTTGATCTGTCAGTGCCAAAATTGCACATGAGATCTGTTAGTTTCTCTAAAATAATGTAATTTGCTACCTTTTTTTTTTTTTTTTTTTTTTTTTTTTTTTTTTTTTTTTTTTTTTTTTTTTTTTTTTTTTTTTTCCGGAATAGGATTTCATTCATAAGCCAAAAAGGTATGCAAAGACCAGCACAAATACAGTAGCCTAGTTAAAATCTTCCTAGGAAAATTACCCATAGGTAGTAAAGAATATTACTCATGCCATGAACTAATATGAGAGTTCGACACACACCACTTTGGACTACTACAAAGAACTTGTAACAGACAAAAACAAAGCACAATTCCAAGCCCCGTAAAGAACAACCCACTACAACGTAATACTGTCAAAGAAAAACTCCTATGCACGCATAATGAGATGAATAAGACAAAGGAAAGCAAATACCCACGACAATCGAAACGTCAAAAGAGCAAAAAGAAGGAATGCAACACGAGGACTTCTCAGGAGGTCATCCATCCTAATACTACTCTCGCCCAAACTCGCTTAACTTCGGAGTTCTGATGGGATCCGGTGCATGTCAGTTGGTATGATCGCATCCGTTAGCTTATAACGTCTAACTGTATATAAGCCACGTTTGAGCCATGCCATATGACTAGAGTTGGGCATATTGGACTGAAAACCGGCCAAACTGGCTGAACCGAACTAGTCGGTGCGGTTTGGTGTGGTTTTCTTCTCCTTTTTTTGGTCAACGGAGCATGAATCAGACCGAACTGGCCTTCATGGTTCGGCGCTCGGTCCCCAATTTTAAAAACCGTCAGTGAACTGGACCGAATCGGGTATATTAAATTATATATAATTAAATAATTATAATACACGTGGATGATTTCTATTGGATTATGATTTATGTTCTTTGCACTTGTGCACAGCATATCCAAGCCATTCAAAACTTAATCTAAGTAGATCATCCGTAATTCAGTCGTGCGGCCTCATCCATCTCTCCTCACCTTTGCCTCTTCGACGTCGCCTTAGCCTCACCGCCTCAACCTCGCATCGTCACCACCACTCACCATCGACTTGGCGCCGTCGCATCGTCAGAGGTGCCTCTTCTTCATAGCCTGACTCACAAGCACCTCCCTCTCATCTTTCAGTCTCTCTGTCTCTCATCTCTACGTCTCTCATCTCTGAGTTTGTCATCACTCATTCTACTCTCTCATCTCATTTTTCAGACAAGGTTTCTCCTGCAAAGGTTAGTTGATTCCTCAACAATTTCTTTTTTTGTTTTGTGATTTTTGTTTCTGTTATAAACCCTAATTATTGGGGGTTTTGGTATAGCCCTAATTTTTGTAGTTCTTGCATATGCAAACATTTTATCGAGCAAATTGGAGAGTTTTGAACTGGTGCTTGTGTTGAAAATCAAGGGTAAGTTTCCTTTCCTTCCTATATATGTGTTTTGTTTTGTTTGTAAATTGTAACTGCTATCGCGTATAGTCTATAGATATCTATGATTATGTGGTGTGTATTGAAGCCTGAACACATAAAAGCCTCCAATTCAAGACTAGTTTAGCTGTCATTTGTTATCCTTGATTAGCTTTATTATTAGATAGAATGGGTTAGTGTACTATTAAGTATTAGGGAACAAATTTATGTAAAAGGCTTGATTATGCAGTTTAATTGGGTTATTGTTCAAGTCAAGATTATGCAATTTAATTGATAATATAATTACAATTTACTTTATTTGTATGAAAGCAATTGTGAATAATTTTAATCTATAGTCAATGGGTTTAATTTACATATGTTTTGAAAAACAATAATAAAGAAGTAAAAGTTTTTGACTCATAGCTTTGAAAATCTGTTTGGTGTGTAAATGTTTATTACATTTGAAATGTAATATGTTTTTGGCATATTTATGAGATTGCTTGTGAATATGTTTTTCATTTTATAGGCCTTAAAAATGTCAAATATGGAAGCTAGTCCTACACCCACAAGTTCAACAGATGATACACCACAAGTAGTTGGGGATGGAGCAGCTACACTCCCTTTACGTCCTCCCACTTCGGGAAAGATCAAGCCTACTAGGAAAGCATTGGAGGTATGGAAACATTTCATTAAGGAACCATTTGAACTAGGGAGTAATATAGGACCTAGAGCTTCTTGGAAGTATTGTCGTGCATCTTATGCATGTGATCCCATAAAAAATGGGACATCTACAATGATGCAACATTTGAGAGATAAGTGTACGCGGGGGGAGGGGGGGTGTCCATTAAGAGAGGAGAACAAACAAAAAGTTCTTGTATTTGATAACAAAGGAACTGTAGTTGCGCATTCAAATAGCACGGAGAGAAGTAGAATTGCTTGTGTGAAGATGATAATACTTGATGAGCTTCCATTTAGGCATGTGGAAGGTGTCGGTTTTAGGCTATTTATGAGAGAGTGTCAACCTAGATTTGATCCACCATCTCGTAGAACCATTGCTAGAGATGTGTGGGATCTTTTTCAAGAAGAAAAGGTAAAAATCAAGAGTGTATTAAATCTAAATTCAAAAAGAGTGTCGCTTACCACGGACACTTGGACTTCCTTGCAAAATGTGAACTATATGGCTTTGACAGCCCATTTCATTGATGATAGCTGGAAATTGCATAAGAAAATCATCAATTTCTATCAAATTACAAATCATAGAGGTGAGGCTATTGGGAGACTTGTGGAGGATTGTTTGCATGATTGGGGAATAGATAAAGTTTTCACCATTACACTTGACAATGCTACGGCTAATGATGGGGCCATTAGGCATATGAAGAGGCAATTGAAGCTTTGGGGCACTCTTTTGCTAGATGGTGATTGTTTACATATGAGATGTTGTGCGCATATCCTTAATTTGATAGTTTTTGATGGGTTGAGTGAATTGCATGACTCAATTAAGAGTATTCGCGAAGCTTGTGTATATACAAGGTCGTCCCCATCTAGGTTCAACAAATTTAGGCATTGTTTGGCCTTGCAAAAAATTGACAGTGAAGGTTTATTACCTTTGAAGTGTAAAACAAGGTGGAACTCATTATATCTTATGTTAGAAGCTGCCTTAAAGTTGCAAAAAGAGTTTGATAGGTTGGAAGAGGAGGCGGCAGACTATGCATCTTACTTTCATCAAAGTGGTGGTGATCATGATGATGGTATTCCGAAAAAGAAGAAAAGAAAGGTTCAAGAAGGAGAAATCTGCACTAAAAAAAAGTTGAAGCCTTCAACCGTTGCGGATTGGGAGTATGCAAGAGCTTTTGTGAAGTTCTTGAAAATATTTTAAGAGGCTACCTTAAAATTTAGTGCATATAAGACGGTTACTTCCAATATCCCCTTCAATGAGATGCTTTCTATTGTTGATGAGTTGAATGCAATGATTGTAAGTGAAGACATTTTTTTGAAAAAAGTTGCAACTTCAATGAAAAAGAAGTTTGATAAGTATTGGGGTAATATTCAAGAAGTGAACCAAGTTTTGATTGTGGCGGTGGTGCTTGATCCCCGTTACAAAATGGACTATAAGAAAGTGATGATTTGAAGGTTACTCTGATGGTAGATGGGGTGAAGGATCTCTTAATGCGGATGTATGAGGCCTATAAGAAAGAGGAACCAGCAGCTGTCCAATCTACTGCAGAGGCTAATGTAGAAAGTGGAGGGGAGGTAAGAGTTGAATGCAATGATCCAAGACCTAAAAAATTTGAGAGAACAAGAAAAGATAGAGCCGTGGTTCAAATTAATAATGCAGTGGACAAGTATTTATTAGAGGCAGCTCAAGATCCAAAAATAGCAGACTTTGATTTGCTAGATTGGTGGAGAGAGAACTCTCCAAGATTTCCAGTTCTATCTAAGATTGCAAGGGATGTGTTTGCTGTCCCTGTTTCAAGTGTGCCTTCGGAAGTTGCATTTAGTATGGGAAAAAGGGTTGTGGATCCTTTTAGGGCGTCTTTGACTCCTAAAACAGTTGAGGCCCTTGTTTGCACTAAGGATTGGCTAAGCCAAGTGGCTTTTGACTTCAACAAGCAGCCAAGTGAAGATGAGCTTGAGTTTTATCAAGCTTTGGAGAAAATGGAATTAGGCACTGTTGTTATGTTTTAAAAAATTTTGTTTTTTTTTTGTTTTTTTGTTTTAACCTTGTATATTTGAATTTGTCTTACATGTTCTCTATTCTTGTAGATATTCAAACTTTGCAACGGAATGAAAATGAACAAGTGGCCACTGGCCACTAATGCTTACTGCCAAAAATTAAAGGAAGCATGAAGAATTGGTTTGTAAAGGGGCTGGACAGTTTGTATGCAGTAGGTTTATATTGGAGCTCACTTAAATATTTTATATTGGAGCTCTTTTTTGATGATATTGAAGTAGGTTTTTGAACATAACAAGATAGGTTTGTTACTTAAAGGGCTGGACAGTAGGAAGTTTAGATGTTGAAGCCTTTTTTGATGAGCTCACTTAAATATTTTAGAGTTGGAGCTCTTTTGTGATGAGATTGAAGTAGGTTTTTGAACATAACAAGATAAGTTTATTAATGAAAAGGACTGGACAGTAGGAAATTTAGATGTGGAACCCTTTTTTGATGAGCTCACTTAAATATTTTAGAGTTGGAGCTCTTTTTTGATGAGATTGAAGTAGGTTTTTGGCAAAAGATAGGTTAGTCAATGAGACAAACCTATCTTTTGCCAAAAACTTTTTGCACTTACAAAGATAGGTTTGTAAACTTTGTACTTTGTACTTCAAATGTGAAGGATGACAGGACCCGACCCAAATTCCACTTTCGAATCCGAGCCGAACCCTGTTCGTGATCGACACCTGGCAGGTGCCGAACACAATTGACTTGGTTGCCCTTTTTTTTTTTTGATTAAAACTTAATTTCCTTTAAATCCTGACTTCTACCGAAAATTCGGCAGAGTCTCCCTTGTAAATCGAACGTTCCCAAAATTTACACCAGTCAACAAGTATTTAAATATATACACCAACTTTCAGTATACAAAAATACGTTCCAACAGTTAAATACATTCTAGGAACCCTACATCAAAATACAGGTTTATTTACAAAGGAGGTAATCGTTGTGAACCAGGGAACCCTACATCAAAATGGGGAAGAGAGGGAAGCGGAGAATGTCGCGAGCTGGCACCGGCAC